TATTTTAGAAAATAAAAAATGAAAATACTATTTTTTGTTTCTTGGAAGTAAGAAGTTACTTCTGAGCATGGAAATCGAAAATACTTATCTATCTAAGTAGTATTTGCCTAGAAATGAGGCTAAAGAGTAGACTTAAATGTTTCACTTTTAATGCATAGTAATTAATTTCCCAGTACTCTTACTTTTTAATAATTGTAAACTCCTGGTATTCAGATCTAGAGGATACTTTCAAATGTCTTATTGCTGCAAAAATAATCTAGGTTTTATTTATAACTAAGACAAGTTAACTTATATTTAAACACATTCGGAATACCTGTTCTTGGAATTCGTAATTATAGATTATTAAAGATAAAAATGTATTAAGCGTTAAATAATTTCTTTATTTTTTATTCAATAGTATTGAGTAATTACGAGATTCGTGAATTTTAGATTTTAGTATTTATATGCTAATTGAAGAAGTAAACAATAAGACTTATCTTGAACATCATGACAGTAGCCATTGGGACTCAGATATGTCTTTTTATATCATGCATTGTGTAGACTTTTGTAAAGTCGTTGGTAGAACACATTTAGCAAGGAGGAGCTAAGGCACTGTATAAGTTCGCTCTGTTAATATCACACACGTCTTTCCTCGTTACTACTATTTTGACCTTTAACTATAATTTTTAACGTTATCCGTATTTACTATAAAATTGATGAAAATTGTAAAATTGTTAACCACCATTATGCTAAAGTTTATTAACGATTTATTCACAGTTCTAAACGGACAGAATTCCTAAATTGCATGAAAGGCAAATATGATAAAACAGTGTATTTAATATATTCGATGGTATGTTACAGTGATTATAACACCTATGATCTTATTATAATTTAGCCGAGTATATGTATAGGTAGGTTAACATTATAAAAGGCTAACATATGGTGTAAATAAAAGTTCCAAATCTGCGCTAAATTAAACTGCTTTGGACTCGTTCATTTTCAAGGTTAGTAAATCACTAGATCTTAGCCAGATATTTGTATTCCTGGAGCTTTCGGTCGTCTATGATTTGGATTGTTTTGAATTTAGCGCAAAGCTATACGAGGGATATTTGAGCTAACTGTCCCTAATTTAGCAGTGATAGACTAGAGGGAAGGCAGCTAGTCAGCATCATCCACCGCCAACTCGTGGGTGACTCTTTTGCCAATTAATAGTGGAATTAACCGTCATATAATAACTCCTCCACGGCTAAAAGGGCGGGCATGTTCGGTGTGACGTAGATTCAAACCTACGACCCGCATATTGCGAGTCGAGAGCCTTAAGCACCAGATTATGAACAAGAGTATTATTCGCCTATGAATAAGAGTATTACAAGTTGCATAACGGTATGCTATTAAAATACATTAGTGGATTCAAAAATCAAGAACTTTTGTAGATATATGAAGGATTTTTTTCCCTTTTGCTTGAAAACATCCCTATAGTTGAAAGAGCTTTGTTACAATATTTGAAAACGGTAAAATTCGGGGTTCAATCCCTTCGATGGACTGAGTTCAGGTAAGCCATTGTGTATATTTGCACTAGAAAATTAATAACAACAACAACGATTTTCAAAATCATAAGCTCACAGTGAAATAAAACATAAAATAGAGAGCTGCGGCGCATACTAACATGCTTAGTTTAAATATTTAGAATTGGTTTAAATTATTTAATCATTTAGCTTTTCCCTCTTTCAAACAACTACATAACCTATTTATGTGTAAAGAATATGAAAAGGTTGAATGTATTTAATTTAATTGTCAGAATATATGTGATAACTGTAAATGCAACATTATGAACATGTTTGTAAACATATAAATATATTATATGAGAGACGTGAAACTTGCATAGGCTTAGCAAAAATGTAATTCAATAAAAATTTGTTTGATATAAAGGGAACTACCAACTCAAAGCTTCAATTACAAATAACATATTGAGATATTTAATACAAAAAGGACGTTTAACAAGCCTGGGGAGAGAAAAACATACAGATTAAAAGCTTCCAAAATGCTCAAAATATGGGCACGTTACCTTTGCAAATTATCAGTTATTTATATTAATAGGCTTACAGTTACTTTCTGTCAAATATATATATCTACATAAGTGAAGAGAAGGACTTAGTTATGTGATCCCACGGAATATTCGTTTAATAGTAACATTTCCATTTGCTTCTTAGTGATTTTATTGATCCTAAATACTTACTGACATCTTTCTGCATCTTGCTCATAGGAATTTATCGTTGAAACGAATAAAAACACGTATCATCCCAAAAATATCTCGAACCCACGCCATACGTTTTCACTAGTTTATTTTGTGTGTGACTATCTATAATGTAAGGTAAGTAAGAGAAATCAAATGTAAGAATTTAAATGTAAACATTCAAACAAAAGTAGCAAAGGCACCCGAATTTGAACTGTACATTAGACTGCGCTGTATGAGTGGAAGCAAACCCATAACGTAAATACATTAAACTTTTATTATAGTACCACCTAAAATTGTGGATATCGAGAATACATCCATCTTAGAAGTCCATGAGGGAGATAATGTGTACCTCCAGTGTTTAGCCTCTGGAAATCCTGTTCCGAAACTTATCTGGAAAAGAGAAGACTCCGAGTTTATAGTGTTAGGAAATATTAAATGTAAGTATCAACAAGATATTTAGGTTTTGGTTTCATTTTCTTGATGAATATATCGATATCTCTTAATCTGTTTACAAATATGTTAATACAAAAGATAATTTATTGTTGTTTGTGTTCAATTGACCTACAATATAAATTAATGAATTCTCAACAAATGTCAACTTACTTTGTGTTTTATTCATGGAACGCATAGTGTACTTATATCTCCATTAGTTAGACTTGATATCATGAACGACTGTATGATCTGGGATTAATTCATGACATACCTTTTCCTTAAAACATAACATTCGCAGCCAAACTAAGGCTATGGTTGTGTAACATACTGTTTTATGAAACTGAATCGAAGTGTATTACGCATTCTCAGAAGGTTTACAAAGCGCCCGTTAAAAATACAGAAATAATTTACTATCATGTTTAAATAACAATAACTACATATATCATAAACAAAAAGTAGCTTGTAAAATTAACAAAGCCAATTCCATGAAACAAACCGGTTAGAAGTGCATAATTTCACAAATAAGTACACAATACAGTAAAAGTGCACTGAATTATCAGTTTGATCACCTCGTAACGTATGATATTTTCAATTGGAAACCCCATAATATCTCTCCTAGTTAGGCCATCTCACGAAATTTAGATTAGCCCTAAAACATATACTAAGCTATCAGTGCAAATTAATATTCAAAAGTGTAAAACATTAATAACAATAATATTCAAAATCATTTTAAACATTATTGTTTGTTTGAAGTTATGCACAAAGCTACACATTGGGCTATCTGTGCTCTGCCCACCACGGGTATCGAAACTCGGTTTCTAACGTTGTAAGTCCGCAGACATACCGCTGTGCCACCGGGGGGCTTTAAACATTATACCAACGATATTAATGAAACTATTTTTATTTGAAAATGGAATGTAACATTAATTATAAATAGTATAAAAATCACTCGTTTTTTACCTATGTTTCGCTTCTAATGCCCTAGAAAGGATGATATCAGTATGAGCAAATCTCTACATAATCCTCTTAAACAACAAGAAGTGTCTATTGGAAACCAACTTCGATTTCAAGAGTATAAGTTTAATTAGTCTGGCATCGAAGATGTTTTCAGAAACTTTTACTTTTTATATATAGAGTTGGTAGAGTGAAGGCATAGAAGAGTAAACATAAAAAAGATTAATATTTTTGTATGCTGAAGATAATGGTACAGATGAGCTGGGTATGGTCTAGTGGGATTCTTGGTTCACAACCGTTGCGACATAAACGTCTGTCAAATCCCGTTATTCGCTTAGATAAAAAAGGCATAAGAGTCAGCAGTTCTAGTATATTAGCTAAAAATTAGAGGCGGCTATGCGCAGGTAGCCCTCTACATAGCTTTCCGCAAAAGTTCTTAAACAAATATAATGAAAGTAGGTACTAAAACGTTTATTCAGTAAACTGAAAATATAAATTATATACTTATATAAACAAAATTAGTGCACTAGAGAGAGCTACTATGAGTAGCACGTATAAAAATATTATCCAAAGCCAAGATCGAGCCTTCCACACGCGACACGCACGCACACAAACAAACACATGTTTAAATTAAGAGGTGCAGTCGCAAGTAATGAATAAATAAAAGTAATCCCTAGGAAACAGCAGAAATATATTGCGTATTTGAGGTAAATAATAACTTAATTAATAATGAAATTTCACCAAATTTAAATACAACTAATAATACTAACTCAAGAATTAGTGAAGGGTTAACTTTAGGTTTTTTTAAACTATTTACGCATAGGGTTCACTAATAATACAGGAGCCACTCAAATATATATATATAATTAATTCCATTAAATACGGTTAGAATCCTTATGGACACTATGTATTTTACAGGAAAGATGAGTGTCGGAACGGGCAAAATCATAAATTACTCAGTCTTATGAAATATGCAGCAAATTATTGCGTCGTATTAAGTCAGCTGTATAGTTTGCTGTGAAGTTTGCGCAAAGCTACACGAGGGCTATCTGCGCTAGCTGTCCCTAATTTAGCAGTGTAAGACTAGAGGGAAGGCAGCTAGTCATCACCACCCACAGCCAACTCTTGAGTTACTCTTTTACCAACGAATATTGGGATTGACCGTCACATTATAACGTCCCCCACGGCTGAAAGGGCGAGCATGTTTGGTGGGACGAGGATTCGAACCCGCGACCCGAAGATTGCGAGTCGAGCGCCCTAACCATCTGGCCATGCCGGCCAAGTCATCAGTATAATAGCGTCATCCACAGTCAGATTTCACATGCATAAAAGTATGAAATTCATTTCAATTTTAGCCTTCTTCGCCCCCCCCCCCCAGTGGCACTGCGGTATGTCTGCGTACTTACAACGCTAGAATCCGGGTTTCGATACTTGTGTTGGGCAAAGTACAAATAGCCCATTATGTAGCTTTGTGCTTAATTACAAACAAACAAACAGCCTTCTTCTGAATCTCTTCTCTACTAATAGCCCCCTAGTGGTTCAACGGTGAGTTTCAAGGCTTATAATGCTAAAAACCGAGTTTCGATTACTACAGTAGGCACGACACAGGTAGCCTATTGTGTAGCGTTGTGCTTAACAACAAACAAAAAACTAATAATTTTGCAGTGAACAGAATTAGTTCCAGGGCCAAACCTATGGGGATAAAAATTTTATTGACAAATATGAAAATGAACTATGAATTTAGTTGCGATGACTGTAAGGCATTAAGTAGTGAAAGTGGAGATCATTTATCTGTTGGTGAAACTGCTAGTGATACAAAATCAGACAATGAAAGCTGCGGGGATACTGATGAAGAATTGGAAATTGTTATAAAATAAAGAAGTGGGAGAAGATTCTCTGCAAATGTTTATAACGAAACACTAAGCACAACATGCTACGCGAAAAAAAATATTGACGCAATAATATCTGGATTTTATCTGTTCTCATCATGGAGGAAATACCAAAATGAACGAACAAGGAAGAAGAAGCAGTATTGGAAGATAAATAGAAGCACTTGGACTCTCACAAACTGAAATATATTTTCGGTGTGCTGATCTTAGGTGATGTTCATAAATCAAAGAATGAAACAATCACACAGCTTTGAAGTTGGACAAATGATAGATCAGTTTTCCACAAGTAATGCTACTCAAAAGATTTCATCAAATCTGAGCGTTCGATTTGAAAGTCCTGAAGAATGAAGAAAAACACAAACCGTAGAAAAATTTGATCCTATTAAAAGCATCTTCAATGAATTGATGAAACTCTTTAGAAGTGTTTCGGTCTATCAAAAAATGTAACCATTGATTAACTTTGTCCCAGATTAGAGCAGAAGTAATTCAACAAAACAACAATAATTTTTTTTTTTACAAATTGCCTCAAAATCTGACTGCAAAATTAGAGATTGTATCACAAGAAAACGTGGTCTTTATAAGTTCTGCCCTCGAGAAATAGACAAAGATCGCAGGGACAGATGTGAAAAGTACAACCTTTTCTGAGAAAAGAGTAGTATTCCATAATATTGTGTGAAAATTGAATAGTTGAAGAGGATATTTAAATTTATTGATATGTTTTTTTGTACTACTCTCATTTTTTTATTTTTAAAATCCAATTTTAAAGCTTCGTAATGTTGAATATTATTGTGTAAAATGTGTAAACACCAATATGTCAAAAGAACGTAATTATAAATAATAAGTTGCATAATTTCTCATATATAAATACATGAGGGTTCGTGTGGAATCCACGAGTAATGAGCAGTATGTAAAAAGTAGGTAATTTTAGGGTTAGCAAATACTAATCTGACTAAAATTTTTAAATTGTGCAATATTATATACTGAGCTGTTATATAATTTACCATAATTATATATTACAATTATAGAATTTATAAAGTTCTTGTGAATGTAGCAGGAAATGGTATTTATTTAATACTCGTGATCCAGATAGCATTTGATTACTTGTTACAGTATCAATAAATTACGCCTCATGTGTAAGTAAAACACGTGCTTCACAAACTCTGAGTATTTCAAGCTAGCTGGTAACTTAGCAACACCGTCTTATTTGTTCCCGGTAGTTCTGACAAAATACGATATAGCGACTGTAAAATAAACAAAAGTTGGTAATAAATGTTTGTGATAACTACTAAATGTTATATAACTTTCAGTGAAGATGGTTGAAGGAGACCATCTGAATATCATCAGGGCAACTCGTTATGACATGGGGTCTTACCTGTGTGTAGCATCGAACGGTGTGGCCCCTCCCGATTCCAAAAAAATACAGTTGGAAATTACATGTAAGTCGTATGTTACTTGTATTTATACTTTTAGAAAACTCGTCACACATGCATTTCAATTTATTCAATTCCCTTACAGCACTAGCAAAAAGTTAACGTTTTAAATAAATGTTAAAACTAACAGTTCTGACAGAAATATTTCCAGGATTCGAACAAACATACCTAATAATTTTTGAACACTTCAACTGTAGGCAACCATTGATTGTGGTTTTTTAAAAGGTCTGTTTATTTTATAATGTGAGCATTTGGCAGTTTCCGAAATGTCGAAAGTCCGAAAGTAGTTTTGGTTTTGCATCGGTTTTCTATATGAAAATATATATTGGATATAGTCTTCAAGAACCAGAACACGAATCGTTTGTGTAATGCAAAAGATAGACTAGGTTACTATTTTAGCCACCATTAGCACAGACGCTCATGCAGTTTCTTGACTTATTTTTAAAACGTTAGAGGTGCATTTGTCTAATTATATACAGTTTCGAGCTGCCTTAGCACCTTATAACTGCTTTATATCATCACTTGATGAATATGTCATTATGAGTAATGTAATGATATCATTTCATAAATGTGAAATTATCCTTTATGGAGAATTTTTTAAACCAGTGAAATTCACTTTGGCTGTAATAATCAACATTTTGCGACAGAGCTAATGATGAAAAATGTAGACAACTGAACTGTATTACTAACCTTCAGTTGATAGATAAGAAACGCATTAAAAACTCTGATACTTTATGAATAAGTTATTCTAAACAAACAAATGGATAATTATAAAATACGTTTTGCTTTCATTTTCACTATTTCAAGTTATAAAGAAACTATTAAGGAACAAAGTAAAGCTAGCAGAAATTTTAGGGTTGACAATACTTAAAATCTACTGCATTCTATAACACACAATTCAATTACAAAGATGTATGTTGAATTTAATTTTATCTCATTGCTAATTAAACAGAATAGAACACCTTTAATCTTAATTATGTAGCTGTCTTAATTAGCCATTCGCAGAATAACACAAGTAACTTCGTGCTTTACTTCAGCTTGATGTGCATTTGATTTTTAATACTGTAAGAAGCGTAGCTTGTTACTATCACATTTACCGAAAATGGAGACGATATTCATTAAGCTGTGTTACTCGTTGGTTGAAGCATAATCATTCCACAACTAATGTCACGACGTATCAAGGCTGTTATCAAGACACATGGTTGCCCAACGCGTTATTAGGCTAAGGTTTCTAATATCTTGGCCAGTGAGTTTAACATCTTTTTTTATTATTATTATGAGAAAACCCCATACATTTTCTAATCGATTCACTGTATACAAAACAGTAATGTTTTGACGGGAATTTTAAAATGTGTTGCTAGATACTGAATTTTTGTATGTAGATTTTAGCAATAAAAACAGTTTAAAAATAATGTTTCATATATACATAGCACCGTACTAAGATTGCTTTTTAAAATGGAAACTTTGTAAGGTCTTCTAGTGAGACAATTTTCAGTTCACTTGGTCGTTTCATTTATTTCAGTCTCCCCTGTGGTCAAAATAATGAATCCTATGGTCGGAGTGCGAATACGAAATTTCGCAGTTTTTGAGTGTTATGTTGAAGCTTTTCCTCGGCCGATGAATTACTGGCTTTACGGTGGTACCAAATTCTTAGACCCAAGTTGGAAGTACAATATCACAGAAGTCATCAATCACTTTAGTTACAAGATGATACTAAATATTACGTATGCCGAGCGTCAAGACTTGGGAATCTACAAGTGTGTCAGCAGAAATCTCAAAGGACTAGCCCATGGAATGCTAACATTGTATGGTAAGAATTTTAGAATTTTCAACACTTTATACTGTTATGTTAGTATTGAGAATTTACAATAGTCCTGAAGCCGATATTATATTTAAATAATTTAAATTTTAATAGTTGAATTGTACCCTGGATTTAGTGTTTAGAAATATGTCGATATTTAATTTAATTTACGCTATTTGCCAACAAGATTGATCCACAACGTTTTTGTTTTTGATACAAATACGTTTTAATATATGTACAACAGTATAATTTACAATAGCTATTATTATGATTAATTATTACAAACAAAGTTTCATAAACAGAAATTTCACTAACTTACAAATAACCTAAAATCGTCTTCCTAGTTCGGAGTCTCCTTGATATCCAGCGAGCTAACTTGAAGTCGATGTGCGTACAATTGTCGGGAAGCTAGCTAGCTTTGTCAGGCACAGAACTGTTGGACCGTTGAAGTAATATAATAGTTTCATAAAACCACTAATGTCCGATGAGAAACCAGTAATATTTTTGGAAAGATACTAACGTTTGATGAGAACTCACTAACGTTCGAAATTTATAACTGTTCATGGTCAAATGTCGTATATTTTCCGGTTGGTAAGGGTTAGCAAAATAACGATTTTATAGTGTACACGGTTATAACAGTTTCCCAGCAGACTTATCAGCTCTCTCTTTGGCCTTGGTCTTTTTATATACGCAAGAAATGTTTTCTCGAAAGATCGGATAACACTGAACTATATTTAACTGGTTATGGAAGTGGATATATTGTCGATTCTTGCGATCACGAATATTCTACAATCTTGGAGAATTGGCGGGAGTTTCGCCATACGTAACTAACACGGTAAGCTAGGCACGTTTTTACATATAAACTCAATCCCAACAAACGTTGCCATTAAAATAAGTATATAACAAATTCATTACACGCAATACATATCTGAAACTATAAGTTACGCATATTTTTAAATATAAATTTAATCTAAACAACGTTCATACTAAAAATAAATACATAATAATAAATTCGTTACAATACAAAAAAAAATCACTGTTTACTTTATTTGCACGTTCAAATTTATAAATGTACTGAGGAAAACAGCTTATACTTTACTTGGTGGTAGGCCTTTAATTAAGTTTGGTGTTAAGTGACATCGAGCGATGATCAAGTCTTCCATATTTTTTATTTTTATAAAGCTTAGATTGTAGTTCTAAGTCAGAGTTTAACATAGGATCTTCTAAATTTAGCTTTTTTTAATATGAGTTTGTTACATGAGGCAATATTTTTCTTTACAGAAATTGATCATGTTACAGAAGAACCGAAAGGAAAACACACATTGAACAAGAAAGGTATCCCATATGTTTTATATTTTAAAGTATTCTATACTCTTGTGCTGTACATCTGCAAATACGAACCATAAATAATCTAACCTACATAAAAGCCAGTGTATGTGTCACGTCACGCCACGCATGATTTCTCGAAATAAGAGGAGTCATAAAAGCCAAAATGCAGTTATCCAGATAGAATAGTTCAATTACTGTCTGCCCATTACAATTTTGGTGACAGGGGTGCAAAGGGGGCCGTGAGGGGGTGCCGTGAAACCTTATAACTGTAGCGCGTGTTGGTATAATAAGCCTAAAGTAAAGACATAATGTGGGATCATTTAGCCTAAAGCCAATTGCATAAAATTTATCATGAAAGTAAAAATATCGATTCAATTTTAAATTTAAATCGTTTCTGAATTAAACTCTTTTCTGTTATATCACCAACGTTTTTAATAATAAAAAAAACTCCTTTAATCAACGGAGACTCTAAATTAAGAAATAAACAAATATTTTCCAGTTTCATTGTCTATACATTTCATTTTATACTTTCAGACAAACAACGATATTAGGTTATTCTTCTGTTGCTAAGCAACATGACATAAAAGCCATTATTGGAACACATTGTTACTAAAACACACTGGCCTTTCTATATATTAGAAGTTGTTAACCTAACTGATTTTTACTAATAATTATTCTATGAATACACCACGAATTCATTTCATGGATGATCTTGATTTTAACTGGCTCACAAAGGAATTTACCGACGTTTGACTGCCTCTACTGCACTTTTCTGCCATTTTGTCGGTCAAGCTTGATTTTGCAAAATGTATTTATTTCAATTAGCTATGAAATGTGAGGTTAGGGTATACTATGGGGTGGGGGTAGTACTTGCTCCGTCAGTTTTTACGGGCTATACGCTAGTCACAATTACTTATAGAATATCATGTCTGGGTAACATCATCATTTATCGCACACATTTTATTTTGTTACTTATATTCTATGTCCGTGTAACGGGAATTCGACATCGCATGCTCCGTCTTAGTACAAAACGTCAATATAACAGAGGGGATCTGAACGTATTTAGGTTTGAAAAATTCGTTTTCATTGCTTTTCTTTTGTTTTTCAGGAAAGTTGGCTGAATTTGTTATCCAGAATACGTGAATACGGAAGCACATTACAACATAAATCGTTGTTTGCCAATGTATTGTTATCCAATATGGTAACAGCGGAATGATTATCAATTGACCAAAAGTTATACAAAATAAACCTTTCTTTTCAAAATTATTCCTAAATATCGTTAAGAGAATGACTAAAAGTGATAGTTAACGCTAAAAAAAAGGCACGAACGTAGGTATCATTTTATATTCTTTTATGATAAGGAAACATATGTTACGTCTCTGTTCGTTTGTTAATTTCCCGTAGAAATTATTTCCGAGAAACTTTAGCGATACAAGTTCTTTCTTAATGAAATCTAGCTTATTCTTTCTCGATACAACTTTGCCATACACAGAATTTCCACAGTCAATACGTTTGCAATCTCGATAACGAAACACACACTTTATATTACCGTCACTACCGCTCGCTTGACTCAATTATCTGTCTCTATATCTATCTATCTGCAATTATCATCTAGCTTTACTTGCCGGGCTTATATACTAAAAAGAGGGCGTCTAGAATACACTCGGGCCTTCATAATCCTTCTAGAAACTCATCACGTGTTACCAGCGTCATGTGACTTCCGCTGTCGTAACATATAAAACGTATTAAGAAATAATCTCTTGTAGTGTGTAACAAAGTTTCAGACAGCGGTGCGTGGTATGGTAGGTATGGAAGAAAGTAGCACAGTTTCGTCGTTGTATATAAAACAATATGAATACGTTGTCTATCAAAGAAACATATCAAAAATTTTAAGAGGTTTTTGCAGTACCAATGATAATTTATATGTACTAAATGGCGCAGGTAAATTAATGTATCTTCTATTTTCCGAAATCAGGAAATTAGGAAACAAATTATTGTACCTGTAAAACGACGGTGGACATGTGTTTGTTTCTCCAGTTTCACGACCCAGCTATCCTTTAAACATAAAGAGATATGAGAGTAATAAACAGCAATAACCGAGGTGTTTGTTTCTCCAGTTTCATGACCTAACTATCCTTTAAACATAAAGAGATATGAGAGTAATAAACAGCAATGACCGAGGTGTGTTTGTTTCTCCAGTTTCATGACCTAGCTCTCCTTTAAACATTAAGAGATATGAGAGTATTAAACAGCAATGATATAGGTTTTGAAACATATTGTTGTTTAAGGTTTATACTTAAATAATTCAACTCAAAGATATAAATATCACGAGGGTCTTGTTCTCCGATCACTTTTCAATTCAATTTTCTCTTACACTTTGGTGTTGTTGTTGTTCTTAATGCAAAACTACGCGATGGGTTCTATCCACGGTGGGTAATCGAACCACGGATTTGACATTGTAAGTACGTAAATTTACCGCTGATCTATCAGGAGAACTTTACGGTTTGGAAATTTTGATCTCGCTTCCAGTTTTGAATTTTCGGTTTTTAACAGTTATTCTCCATATCAAACCTACACTTTTATAAATTAATTATAAAGTGTCACAATGTAAGTGTCCTTATAGTACTTTGGTTTTCCACTGTTGAATAAGTATCTTAGCAAAGTCACATAGTTTTAGTTGACGCTATTTTTAAGTTAGCGCTGTGTTCTCATTGGTCTGATATCTGGAAGCCTTAGTGACCAGAAAGTTAAACTGACCTCCTTTGGTCGTTGATCCGACATTCACAAAGAAATATATTGCAGCCATTATCCTGTAACTTGTATCTGGTAGGCGCAGCTGAGAAGGTTAAGGCTTTACGTTGAAATTTATTGCACGTTCAGTAAATTCTTTTCAGGTTTGATCTTATCCAGTTCTAGGAGCCAGTGAAAGAAACAGCGGGCGTATTTTGTTGCATATAGCTAAAGTGAGTGTTCTAAATATACATTGTTTTGTTAGCGACATTGTAGCTGACTGTCAAGTACACCTCATATTTGTTTTTAGTGTAAGGCTCTGATTTCTGCATCTTTCATTTTGTACTCACTTTGCATAATTTCTTTTTCGTCTTTCCCCAGCAACTCACATGATTTCCGCTTTCGTTAATTTCACCTGCACTTTATCTCAAAATTAAATTCTCGAATCTCGTGTTATTGAAGAGATGATCTACTTACGAATATAACTCCAAACAAGAATAGTAAACCGGATAGTAACGTTATTTTTATGTAAAATAAACTCTTCCATTATAAATTACAAATTATTTATAAGGAGTATATGAAGTAACTATTGAAGTTTACGGTTTTTATGTGATACAAACTACGTCATTGATTTAATTCCTATTTTATCCTGACATTTGTTAAGGTAGTGCAGTTTAATACTTTTGTAAGAAACGTTGTTGGCTTGAATTTGAAAAAAAAAGAAAAAAAAAGGGTTAACGTGAATGTATTGTGATGAACAACTCCCTTTGTGTTACAAATAACACATTGGACTGCGTTTTCTAAAGTGTACCTGTATGTTACTAGAGTGTTTTTACATCAGATAGCGTGATGTTTTATCATTCTGTACTAAATGTACGAGTTAGAAATGATTGTTATTCTAGGAAATCCGATCGATTAAAGTGTCTGAAGAGAAAGTATGTTAGACAGTGACTTTTTCATTGTAGAGCAGTATGAATGTAGCCTCCCCTATACATGTTCATCATTCGAATTACTGTGGACTGTTCCATTTCAAATCATTTAATATTAGCCCCCTCCTGCTAATGAGTTCTTGGAGGAGTTTAAATGCTTGTTGTTAAATACAAAAACCTGTTAATTCTGTGTCATTTATTTATTTTAATAAGTTTATGGTAATTTCAAACTACTAAAGTACACGAAAAACATTGACGCAATAATAAGAACTTGGTGTTTCTTGAGTTAAAGATAAGAGTTAGACAAACGAGATAGACATCAGGTTAGTGTGATAAACTAACCACGCGTGAACGAAGTAAATATAACAGAATTGGAATGAATACAGATAATTAAAATAAGTTTAAATGATTATTTATGATCAATAAAAATATGATAATTGTTTATGACTCAATAAATTTAAGATAATTGTTTTCAGTAAAGTCAGACTACTCCATATTAGTTTCAAGTTAACTGATTAAGTTATTTATAGACTCAATTAAGACTGTTTACTACCAAGGAATAATATTTTTGATTAAATGGTGAATTAGAAACTCATAATCCATTTTATAGCCATTAAAATTTTCATTCGTTGAACAAGATTTTAAAGAGGAATATTTCTATGCAAACATTATTTTAAAATTTGGTTTCAAAATGCCTCTGGTATTTATTCTAAGCTTTCTGAATGCCCACTCTGACAAGAGTGTACAAAACCTCCAAAATGTCCTATGCTTGTTAAAAGTACAAAAAGGGTGAAATTTTTACAACAAGCAGTTGCCTACCTTTCAACTAAATTTCATCACAAATACTCAACCTAAATAATTTATCAAAAAATAGAAAAAGGGAGTTTTTTCTGTTTTAATTGAAATTAGTAGTTTTTCGTTTATTGCTTTAATATCGATTTCAGATATTGTAACAAAGCTATAATCATCTAAACATTTTTTTCTAAGTCAAGCTTTTACACAAAATAACTTGCAACATTTCAACTGTAATAATTCTAAAAGTCTTGTGATTTAAAAAAAAACATTTTGTTCATTTTCTTAAGATCGTATTTAAAAGTAGATTATTACATTTTAGGAACGCGTGTTGAAGAATGATTACTGTAAGATATAGCAAAAGACTCTGAAAAAAAAATAGTGGTGGCTGTTATCTTTGTAGCCAGAATAACATCAAATGTGGTGTAATATGTGAAAGGACTGTTGAAGTAATTGTTGGCTGAAAGGACTGATAAAGTAGCTCAAGACTTGATGTTGAGTTTCTTAAATAGGTTATCTTACATGAAAGTGATTATATATCATACCAGCAAGCAATAATCATCGTCATTAATATGAGTATTTTCATAATGGAATATTTTATAGCTACGTGAGAAAGTAATCATAATTACCAAGATGCAAATTTCCCTATGACCAACATGAGCTACGTAATTTAAGTCTTAAGTATCCAATCAAAACTTTAATTTTATTTGACATCAAGGGAAGTTTTTTTAAAGAAAAAAGTATTTTACTTTCTCTTTACTTTTCTTTAATAGCAGAAAACTTGTCCACGGTAAATGTGACTAGTAATGACAGTCGCTTCAATGATTCTTACTGGTGGGTTCTACAGCCAAGAGTTAAAGGTACGTTTTTAGTAATAACAGAAAATTGTTAAGTTCACATGTCTAAGTTCACTTTTCGTTTCAGCGAAATATAATAACGTCAACTGTTTTTATTTTGTTTTTACAGCTGGTTTGGACCCATTTGCTTACATGAATATGGCCCTCTAAAATAACTTCTCAGAGAAGGGCCATATTACGTAAGCACCGCGTTGCTACTGAAATACAATATCTATGCTAACACTAAATTATTGTATTTATGCCAGCACTAAACTACCATAGTTATGTTATCACTGAGTTACCATGGTTATGCTATCACTGGACTACCACAATAACCATACAACTACCATAGCTATGTTACTGGTCTGTCATAGCTGTGTTAACACTAAGTTACCATAACTATACTACCAATGAAATATTTCGGCTAAGCTACCATTGAATTACCACATTTTTTTATTTTTTGTGTTTAATAAAGATGAGGAAAAACAGTTCTTTCCACTTTTCCAAATGTTTCAGTGAAAAGTCACATAAGAGTACTTTAATGTACTGCCTAAGTTTAGATCCATATAACCCATAAACAAACAATCAATAGTGAATGGATGTTGTATACTTCAGAAGACAAAATAGATAGGTGAGAAATGCTTGGTAGCTTATGTTGTATAAAACACTGATTAATTCAAAACGTACTTGGAAAAGAAAAACAGCATAAGATAGCCACCAGAGTTTTATCTTAAATTACCATAATAATGTAAGTCTAATATTGGTGAACTGTGCCATAAATACTGTTATACCACTAATGTGAATAGGAAAAAAAATCAGTCTTCTTCGCAGTAAAAAAAAAGAAAAAGTTCTTTACCAGTTATAGGTGTAAATTAGGGAAAATATGTCGTCTTTGTGGTAAAGCAAACAAATAAAGTACGATTTTATATGTACATCTTATACAAATGATAATTTCTCTAATTAAACATTTCGTACGTTTTTTCCCCCCATAATTTTGGAGTATTCTCGATTAATGGTTTGTTCAAAGGTTGCTAGGTTACAAAGAATCGTCATACTGCTCGAACTAGTCATCCAAACTTATTTATTTACAATGCCGGTAGGTGGTATAAATAAAATATTATTGAATCACTGAGAGATCTCACTGGTTTATCAAAATTCCTTTGAAGATCTCATTTTTAAAAAATCACTGGTTGTACGAAGACATTTTCACGATATTTCATTAATTCACCACTGTATCTATGGAGTCTTCTCAAAGCTCTTGTTAGAAACATATCGTACGTCATTAAATTCACAGCTGTTCCAACAAGCGATAAAACAAGCAAAATAGTTAATTATCGAAGCACCTTAATTGGATATTGGTTGATTGTTTTTAATTCATCACACAAGCACACTGTTTGACATTATGTTTTCTTTTCTCACTCTTCACAAGAATAATTGATATATAATACACATAAATAGTAACTTCTTCTTATCATCTTACTTTTTATTGTTGTTGTTGTTGTTGTTCATTACGTCACTCCTATTTTCGCATGCAAAAACAACGAATCGAATTCAACATGGTCGTCAAAAAATGGATAGAAAGTACCGAAATATATAAATCAGTATATTTTGTCATTTATTGATCAATACCATTTGTAAATCGTTCTACACTAATTGAAAATATACAATCATATTTCTTAATATATCCACAAGAAGATCAAATCAACTGAACTATGCTGAGGTAACACACACATATACATTTGTAACACACACATATACACTATCTTACTAAATGCCATGACACACGGGTAATTATGAATAAAACGTGTTTATTCCAAGAAATTAATAGCATGTTGGCCCATCTTTGGCCTTAATTACTGCTTCAATGCGTCACGGAAGACTGTCTACTAATTTCTGGTAGAAAGCTGGTGGTATTGTGTTCCACTTCTCCTTTAAAGCAGTAGTAAGCTTCACTACTGAAGATGGCTGTCTTGGTCTTGTCCTAATTCTGCGTTTCAGTTCATCCCAAAGATATTGTATCGGGTTGATGTCGTGGCTCTGTGCTGGCCACTGCAATGTTCCGATGTTATTCTTTTCAAACCATGCGTTCACAATCCTTGCTTTGTGACATGGAGTGTTATCATGTTGGAAGGTGTAAGGGCCGGTACCATAAAATTGCCACAATGTGGGACACACAGAATTCAAAACATCAATGTAGGACTCACCATTCATGTAACTATGCACTGCGACCAGTGGACGAGAAGCACCCCCAGACCCTAATACCGCCACCTCCAAACTTTACTGTTGGGACAACACACTCAGATAATAAGCATTCCCCAGGTATACCAAAACACATCCATCAGACTGGAAGAGCGTGTAGCGTGTCTCGTCGCTCCACAGGACCGATTTCCATTGTTCCACGGTCCAGGTTCGGGGGTGCTTTACCCCATGCCTATCGACGGTGTGCATTTGTTTTTGTTATCAACGGCTTGTGGGCTGCAGCTCTTCCGTGAAAATTCATGCCAGGCAGCTCTCAACGTGTCGTAGAAACACTTATAGGGTTGCCTGTGGCTGCTAGCATCTCCAAACACAGATTCTCTAGAGTTTGATGGCGAGATGAGGTAACCACACTTCTCAAGGTGCGTCGGCTTCTGTCAGTCAGTATTTTACGCCTACCTGGTCGTTTCTTGGGCTCATTGTCACCTGTGGACTTCCATTTCTTCAGCACTCTGCCAGTTGTCGACCTGGAAATGCTTAATTATTGCGCAATAGCACGTACAGACATTTTCCCCAAATAACATCCAACTATCATTCCTCTCTTAAACTCTGTTAACTATTTCCTTGTATTCATCGTTCGGTGTACAAGGTCGAAATGACTTCCGAGCGAACTGCTAATCACCTTTATAGGCCAAACTATTTGCATATTTCGTCGTCTCGCCCATTTTCCTGCAATCAGCGGTGTGTCCAATGACTTCTGGTAGGATAGTATATATGTAGATATATTAGGTCGTCAAGAACTTAATGTCGCGTGTTGGAACACTTTCATTAACCACCCCTCAAAAATCGTTCATCGCGTATAATAGTTAAACAAACCACCTAAACGTCGCGTTAGTGTAGCCTATATAATGTGTAAAGTTTAGTATACTCTAATCCCTTATAGTGATGGCACACGACGAAACACACACTTGGCGTGTAATGCTCTTTGAATACAAGAAATGAAATAACGCCTCTGTAGCCACAAAGACCATCAAAAAAGTTTATGGAAATGTTTTGAAGGTTCATAAGTTCAACGAACGATGGTTCAGCAAATTTAGTTCAGGTGACTTTAGACTTACAAACTGTAATGGCTGGGGCCGAAAGGGAACTGATATTGATACTCTGAAGAAGCTTATTAAGTCTAGCCCAAGGCAACACACTCTTGAAGTGGCCCTGAAAATGTTTGTCTCTCATGAAACAATACGCAAACAAGTAAAGAAATATGGGAAACTCCATAAAGAAGGTGTTTGGATGCCTCACAAACTCTCCGACAATCATCGTTTCCAACTTATGAACGTTGTTTCTTCATCTCTTTTGGCGCGTAATGCACATGAACCATTTTTGGACAGAATTGTCACCGGTTATGAAAAATGGATTCTCTATGCGAATATTAAACGCCAAAAACAATAGCTAAATTCTCGACAAAAACCACTTCCGACTCCGAAACGTGG